TAAATCATTCAGGACTAAATGGATAAATTGCTGATTTCAACACAGAATACAGCTTGGTGCCGAGGCAGGCGGGTAGCAGAGAGATTAAAAAGAAATGGCCTGAGCAGATTTATATGACTGGATACATTGGAAAGTATTTTCCTGTTGCTGCTTTTTGATGTTTTAATGTAACTGGTGACATTCACTGGAACAATTCAGAGGAGAAATGGTACAATTTTGATACAAAATACAAGCTCCAAACTCAACTCTGGAGAACCAGTGTTTAACAGAAAAGTATAAAGTCCGCACTGGATTACGGAATTTGTCTTTAAGGGAAAAATTAAACAAAAGCAAGATCATTCTCAGAGCAAAGGGGGGAAACAGTAACTCTGTCAGAGCAAGTGAGGCTATGCAGGAATGGTATTTTTATGATTTGAAGGATTAACACAAGCTAAAATAAAAGCTTTCAGAACAAAGAGCAGAAACAAGAATCTGTTTTATCCGTTTTGGGATTCGGTGACACTGTTAAAGTCTGCTAATAGCATCTTCCTTCAGTTCTCCAGGACTTAAACCATCTTGCTGCACTTAGCACTCTGCAGACCACCCACGTTGATATACACACAAAAACACATGTGCCAGGAATGCCTGATGTTAATGGAAATCAATATCAGCGTTACAGACCTCGTATACGCACAGCCTGGCTCCCAGACAAGATCACTCGTTTCATCTGTTGGGTACCTTCGGCTAGCTTTATATGGTTACATGTAAACACAATTTACTGTGCTTTTTTTAAATCAGATGTAGCTGGTTTTAACAGCGGAAAATGTTTGCTTGAAACCCAATATTGATTATGAATGTACTAATTTAACTACCTCCTGTCACATTGATCCTGACACAGAGATGTGAATATAATACCATTATAGTGAGACAGCACGTTGTAGCAATATGAAAGATTTCTTGCTTCTCACCAAACCCTTCCCCTGCCCCCAATTTAGATCAAAGCAAAACCTGAAATAACTTTTCAAGTAGCTGCTGCCACACCAAGTTATACTTAATTCAGTTACCAAAATATATATAACCATTTCTGGATTTACCTCAGAATACAGAGTCATGCCAAGTACCTAAAGTAACTGGTGACGTCTCAAAGAACCTAAAAGGCTGCAATGAAACAAGATATAACCTCACTTACATCAGTTTTAAGATGGGACTGTGAGTGAGGATACTCTCTTTGAGCAGGACACAGAATTGAAGCTTAATTTGGATCTCCAGGCTGAAGACAGGTAGATAAATAGGAAGCAGTACAGAGTGTTAATCTGAAGGCAACAGTTCTCTTGCTCTCTCTCTCTCTGCACTGCCTCGTTACCTGGAGACAAACAGAGGAACCAAACACTCATGTCAGGGTTTTGACTTGTGGACACTGGCATGATACCAGTCTCAACCCATGCCCAGAGTTGTGATTTATGCCAATAACAGGCAGAAGGGGAAAGTTTAACATAGCCAAAATTATTCCAGGGTGAAATCCACAGCCAAGTTCACCCTGGCACGAGCTTGTCAGTGTAAGTCTATTCGTCAAATGTTTCCCTTTGTGGCAGGGACTTGAACCCAATGCCACGGTAACTGTTTCAGTCAAATAGAATGAAAACAATCATCTGAAGTCCAACCACAAAAACCCAGTGTATCTGGGACAACTTATCGTCCTCACATGTAACTAAGACCACCCTCAGGGATTGGTTTCATTCCAAGGCTTCTCAAATCCACGACACTCTGGGAAGCAGGAGGTGATGATAAATATAAAAACTGCATCTGGGAGTAGCATAGCTCTGCAGGAAGGTTAGTTCTGGGGTTAATATTATGCAAACTGTCCATAAATGACTCAGGGAGACAACTTCTTGCAGTATAATGTTTTAGGATGATAGCAAACTATGGGATCATGTGGTCAATGTAAGGACCATGAATCACTCACATAACACAAGGGTATGGGGAAAGGGTACATAAATAGGACTGAATGGATTGCTCTTTAAAAGAGCCAATATAGGCACACTGGGCCTAATGGCCTTCTTCTGTGCTTTAATGTTCTATGTTTCTAAGCACTCTGGACAATCTGGACCAATTATCCAGATGGGGTGAAGAATAGCAATTTAACAAAGATAAATGCAGCTTAATGAATGTTGAGAAGAGGAAACACTAAACATGTGTATATAATACGGGGCTTTCCGATTCCCACTGTCTGAGTCAAGAAAAAGAAAAGATTTGGTTGTGATTTTTGAACTTTGACTGAATGACATTCAATCAACGATATCTAAGCAGCATTTTTGCAACTACTCGTGAGGCTGAAAGGGCTTTCTCTTTATGCACCACAGCCAAAATGTTTCTCCAAGAGTTTCTGAGACAGATTTTCTTTCAAAGTAATGAAGTTGCATTTAAACCTAAAAGACAATAATGATTTCATTCCAGTTTACCATATTTAGAAAAGGTTGTTTTCTTTTGAAAAAATATTGGTTCTAAGTATTAATTCTTGACAAAATGTTTTAAAAATCAGATGGTAACTGAAATAACAGGTATACATTTTGAGGATTCTGCATATGAATCCTACAGGTATCTGGATGGTCCTTGTGGATCTGATAGAAATCTGGTCAGACATCAATTGCAGCTAAAACAGCAACCAGCAGAAGAAGGGTGGTGGCTAAGTTAGAAACATAAGCACATACAAAAACTTGTTTGAATCAGGATTTTCCATACATAGGCATTGCCTGCCATGAATGTCTGCTTTAACCTTGCAGGTCTTCAAATAATTGGTGCCATTATTGGAAGAGCTGATATAATAATCTTTGCATTTGTTATAGCGTCTTATCACATCATTGAGACGTCTCAAAGCACTTCACAGGATATAATGTAAAGTAGATTGACTTTATATTTTGTGGGCGAAACGAGAGGACATCCACCAGAGACAGTAACTTCTGTGACATTTCATTCGAAAGGTTCACCCATTCTCTATTTTGCAAGTGTTTTGCACAAACAGAAGCAGAAATTCCTTTACTATGGTAACTTTTTTCTCCTTTAATTTCTTTTCTTACATATAGTTATTCTAATTCTGAAAAACGCTCTCTCTGAAAGATTAAAAACAACAAATTACATTTATTTGTTAATGTTAAAAAAAACATTTAAAGAACACAAATAGAGAAGACTTAACTAGCTGTCTGCTCTATGTTTTCACTGGAATTGTAGCTGCTGTTTTAAAGGAGGAAACTATTCATCCGGAGAAGTAGTTTTGCTACCTGGTTGACAAGAATCAAATATATTAAGACACCAAAATTGGCAGTTGTGGTTTTACGATGGAATTGCCCATTTGTCTTTCTTAGAGGGAAAAATAACACTCATAAACTTTACCGAATCCTAATGCCTATGGAAAAATGAAGAGTCTGGGATGGAGATATACAATTTGGGATGTCATATGCTAAAACCGATAATTCTTATACTCATGACTGGAAATCTATGACATGGTAGAAGGTGATTCCACCCATTGCATTAGTTTTAGTGTTTGTTCCTTCAGTGACATAATCAATCCTATTCCCAAGCTTTTTCTCCATAACCTCTAATACGCTTCCTTTGCACATGCTTGTCTAATTCCCTTTTAAACACCCCAGTCGACTGCTCAACAGCCCCCCAGAAAATTATTCCATATTCTCGAGTCCAATTCTTTGGTGCCATAAAGAAATTCCCATTATCAATACCTAGACCATCTTGATCCCTTCACAAGAGTTGGTGGACAGGGAGATCTAAAAATCATGACTCAATAGTATGCTTGCTGGCTAGTGCCAAACTCCACCATCATAATGTTAGTAATACTAAATCTCTTTCACTCTTTCCACCCCTCCCCACCAAATGTATCCATGGGTATGTCTACACATTGGTTCCAAGCAGCTGAATTAGAAAACAGAGCAGGAGAATTTAGACCAATTTAAGTCTTAAATTCATTGGACTGCAGTAGGTGCAGATAACGTCCTCTGAAACTTTAACTCAAAATGGCAGAATGATCTAATGGCCGAGAACTATTTGCTGTCTATATTGTAACTGACCTGCTCTTTGCCCTCTATACCATTTTGATGCAAATCTGGAGGAAGGCAAAGACTCCACGCTAAATGAAAACCTAGTACTTCTAAAAAGAATACTAAGGTTTGGGGTTGGATGCATGAATGTTAAGTCCTTGGAGGTTCCCTGGATTTATCCTGAAGTTCAGAATACTTTCACAACTGAAACAATTCTTCCAAACATCAAAACAGACACTGAATCTGGGCTTATTCTTCCACTTTGGGACTGAAGAAGAGGGTCAGGAATGACTAGAATTGGAGGACTGTAAATATTTCATTGCACCAGCACACTTCAGTCACAACCTCTGTACCCAAATTTCAAACAATCAGATAGGAAGTCTACTTCTTGTTGCAGCATTGTATATATACTGAGGCAGCAGATTAATGGATGTATGTAATGAATAAGTGGTAAATATTACAAATTAAGACATTTCATGTTATTTAATTCAATATTCTCTGATACAGAGTAAAACACACTTGGCTAATTTAAGGGGGTGGGGGGAGAAGAGAGAAATCACAATCTAATAGCTAGAGACATCAATGGCAGATAATCTAAACAAACTAGATGCTTAGAGAAAACATTACTGTGAGAATATTAGGAAATATGTACACAGATGTAAACTATTTCAAAAAAGGATTTATTTTGTACTCTGGATACAAAAATTAGATGGAAAACCTAATGCATTTTTTTGTAAGGAGTGTAACCCACCCACGATTGTTCTAATTAAATATTGTGGTAAACTTTTTCTGTGCTTAAATCAGAAATTTTGAAAACGCTATTCTGTTTTATACAATTATTTGATCTCATTAATAATTTAAATTTGGATTGCAGCATTCATTTACAAAATAATAATAATAATGTTCCTAGCATTTGATATAGCGCCTTATCATGTCTTCAAGACGTCTCAAAGCACTGCACAGAATATACTGTACAGCAAATTGATTGTATATTTTGTGGGTGAAAATACAATAGATACTGGACATTCTCCATTAATTCAGGCTTAAGTCCATTCAGAAGAAAACATTTGCTGATTTAAACCACAAATGTTCTATTGCAGTTCATTTCTTCTTTCTTTTTTTAAAAAAACTCTTATAAACACCTTTCTCTACCCTTATCCACTTAATATAAACATCTTTATACGCAGAATCTGTTTTTATAAAGAAGCAACAGATCAATGTACAAGTATTGCCTTTTTGACAGATTACTGACGTAAATAAATGGGCTGGCTGGAATTATCACAAATTCGTAGCCAAACTTAATTGAAAAAAATGAAAATTTAAAATGAGCTGCACCACAAAATTTATCTACAACAATTAAGGTGGACCAAGCAACTACATAAATTAAAAGGACCAACAAGTACCAAGTTAAACTTTTGAAGACTGCTGGAATTTTGTTTTTGAATGAACATTTCTGGGTTTTACCAAAGAACCAGAAACAAATCGAATCAAAGAGTAATGATGATTGAAAATGTACTCTTAAACATAATTTTTAAGTGAAAGAAAGATTATTTCCCCGTTTAAAAAAAAAGCAGTCTGGTTTTCCTGACAGGAATTGCACATTGAAAGTATACTAACAAGGTAACTTTTCAAGTAATGGACACATTGATTTATATTTTAACCTCGTTGTTGCTGGAAAGTACACTTGTTCTGTTGGAAGCAGTTTCAGAAATTTCAATAATAAAAAAAAGTACTAAAAAAATCATCCTGTCTTTGGACTGAAAGTAACAGTTACGTTCTCAAACAGACTCTAATGTTGACACATGAAAATATGATTTTACTGCAACATACTTCTTAAAAAGAAATATCTGTTCAAAATGTTTTTCATCATCAGTAACAAGGACAGACAGATACAAACACACACATTTTACCAAGATGGTCAAGATGCCTAACACAGATTTGGCAGTGAGGGGAATATTTCAAAATAAATAATTAGTCCCAAATTAAGAATTTTCTACATCACAAGATTACAAAAAATTAGGAACAGAACAATATTTTAGACAATTCCACATAGAGTCTTTTTCTTATAGTTCATAATCGATTCGACATGGCAGAAATGTTTTAACTAATGATTGACCACTCTAGTTCAGACCAGTTACTTGGCACCAATTGCAAATGCCAGAACAGGCATGTTCATCAGTGAAAGAGCATTAGTACACATTAGGCTTTTCTAACCTTTTACCACTCACCTCTCCCAATTCAAATAGCTCTGTGAGCCTTCAACATTTTAACTCATTGGTAGTGCTACGAATGCACATCTGGACCAGGGATTTGAACAAAGATTGAGAATCAACAATGCTACAGATGCACCTGTCCCCAAAGGTGCTTAAAATTGTGTCCATTTTTAATGAAAGATGTAAACAGTATATATCAGGATAACCTAGGAGTGTGAGTAAGAATGATGGCACAAAACGGTATTCTCTTCTTTAAAATGTCCAAGTCAAAACTGGGAAGCACATCCCTTCTGGAAAGAGTTGTGGTATAGATACCAAATCTCCTAGTACTGGCACTGGGTCACTACGTGTGCTGGTCAACCACTAATTAAAACATTAGAAAGATCAGCAAGCTGGTAACATTGTTTGAGAACAGTGCACAGTAACAGGTTTAAAGCACTACAGTTCAATTACTAAGGCTAGAGCATTTTGTGTTGTCACATAGTGTCCCCTAGGATCGCAGCTAGTTTTCATAGAAAAATGGAAAAACTGGTGGACATGAATTCACCAGCCATTGGGTGACAACATTCCTATTGCATTCAGAAGCCTTTGACATACACACAACCCAAATGCTTGTAATGTCCGGTAGTGTTGTTCCAAAGTTGCAAGATATTTCTCATGAATGTACATTTTAATAAATAGATCAGTTGCGTACTAAGGCAGTGTTGTACATGCTTCGATTCCCTGTTTGAACACCACACAGATGAACAGTACTGGAGAGATCCATGGAGAGCAAATTTCCAAAGTGGAGGAGGAGGAGGAAGTGGACCTTTTAGTTCAACACTTCCAGAAATGTTTTCTAAGATTAGGTAAATCTCTTCACATTCCCCCTCCCCCACCACCCCAAGCAACACATTAAGGGGAGAGAGGATTGACTGGCTGAAAAAAAGCTGCAATATGTAGCTCTCTTGGGCTGGTTGATTGGATTGCATCCTTGAGAAAGTTCAAGTTTTTAGCTTGCTAGAGAAGCAACCAGGCATCAATGTCTTCATGATGTTCCGGAGGTCTCCAGATAACTCTGTAATTTTCGAACCGTGGTTTTGTCCAGTGAGCAAAGGTCAAAGTCAAATGTTGTGTTTGTGATGTGAAAATGTCCAGTTTCTTCTATAAGGTTAACAATCTGTAAGGACAGACGCGCAGATAATTAGCTGACAACAACAAAATCATATTTGTATCGCGTTTTTCATGTCGGGAGGACGTCCCAAGGCGCTGGCCAATCAGTGTTTCAGACACGAGCTGGGGGTCAGTATCGGGGAAGGTGGAGGGCAGGGGAAGGAGGGTGACTGAGGGCATGGATCTTGAGACAGGTTTTGAGATGGGTCTTGAAGGAGACCAGGAAAGGGGTGAGGCGGAGGAACTGTGGGATGGAGTTCCAGAGGGCTGAAGAGTGGCTGAAGGCTCGCCCGCCAATGATGGGGCAGGTGAGGCGGGGGACGTGAAGCAGGCCGGAGCCCTCTGAGCAGAGGGAGCAGATAGGTTGGAAGGGGGTTAGGAGGTAGGGGGGAGCAAGGCCACGGAGGGCTTTGAAAGTGAGGATCAGGATCCTCTGTGTGATGGGAAGCCAGTGGAGTTGGGCGAGGATGGGGGTGATAGGGTCGTGAAGCCTCGTGCAGGAGAGGACACGCGCTGCAGAGTTCTGGATGATCTGCAGCCTATGGAAAAAGGAGTTGGGGAGGCCGACAAGCACAAACAGCATAATCAATCTACAGCAAACAATTCAAAAATGTACAGGGGTTTTTCAGATCTAGAACTGAAAGGCACTTCGCTATTTTTGAATTGATTTGTCAATTTGATTTGTCATTAAGTGCAACTCAATTCAAAATTTGAAAAAACGTCTCACAAATCAACAAAATCTGAAGAAAGGTCCTGTGAGCAAAACGCACATCCCGTTTCCCTGAAGTTTCCAATTTGAGATTCGTGATTCACTGGCTGTGAAGTTTGCAAACAAGAGTTTCAACTTAACACAAATCCATTTTGAGAAATTAAACTCCACTAAAGCATTTACCTGCTCTATATATTCACAAAGCAAAACAATTAGATTCCAGCCTTCTTAAAAATTATTACAGCACAATTCAGTCTTTCTGGACTGAGAGGGTGAATGGCCAACTTGTCCCCTTTGCTGTCATTCTGTCTCTGTGAACTATTGTGAGGTATGTTCCTGTGTGAAAAGTTATTAAAACTCACTGCAAGAGGTAGACAAGCTCTCAAACTTCTCCTTGCCTGTCAACCTTCGGAATTTCCTCTTTACTTCATAGAGGAGAGAAATTTGGTTCTGGGAATTGCCTTTCATCAACATTGCATGATGGAACACCAATGGATTACCCACAACCATTTTGATAAAGGATAATAACTGGCCGGTTTCCTCATGTCAAAAAATGGCCAACTTCCAGGTCACCACCAACGTCACTTCCTGCATGAAGGAAATGACAGAAAGTGGCATCGGTGGTGACCTGATAACCTAATTATGTCAACACTGAGAATTACCTGCTTTTTAAAGTATACTATATATAAAGTTATACATACATTTTAGCAAAGTACTAATATCAACTTGCACTTATATAATGACTTTCGTAGAGAACAGAAGTGGTTTACAGAGTGTATTTACCTGAGTGTTCTGAGGGTAACCATATATTACAACAATAATACACTTGATATGGAGCTTACAACATCAAAACATCTCGAGCAGCTTTAGAGAAATTACAATTTCAGTGTAGTGTTCATTGCTGCAGGAAAACACAGCAGCCACTTTATGCTTAACAAAGTCTCACAAACAGCCATGAAATGAATGACCAATTTATCTGGAGCAACGTTAAATATCTAGCAATGCTAGATAATTATTTGGAGAGGACAAGTTTGCAGGACTATGGGGAGAGAACGATGAAGTGGGATTGATTCGGATAGCTTTTGTCAAAGAGCCAGCCCAGGCCGAATGGCCTCTTTCTGTGCTGTATAATTCTATGATTCTATGAATGTTGATCTCCCTTCTCTTTTCAAATAACTTTTATTTTTACCTGTTGCAGTATATGCCGTTCTCGAAGTGTCATTAGTCGCCTGTGTAGTTCAACCAGCTCATCTAGATATGCCTAAAAAGATATGAAATAATTCATTATCAGATTCCCCTATATTTTGACACTGCACTGCAGACAATTTCACTTAATTCTAGAACTAGGCATAACAAATGTATAACCATAACTTCATAAAACATTGCTTAATTGTTCAAAAAATCTTTTATTGCTGAATATCTAATTCATCAATCACCCCTGCATGTTACTGCAGTGTAAAAGACCAGTCCCTGTACATTTTTAGACTCAGTTGCAGCATCAATGATTCACTGGGTTGCAGCAAACTGCATAGGATGTTAAGGAATTCAGGAGGTAACAAATGGTGTGTATGGCAATAGGGTGGGACATTGGTATTAAAGAATCTACCAGAGTCTTACAAACTGGTAGAACAGGCTGGATGAGCTGAATGGCCTCCTCCTGCTTTCCTACGTTTGGTATTTCTAAATCCTGATCCAAAGACATGGTCATGTACTTTTAGCAAAACAGATGGAAGTTATTATAAAAAATCTTTTTTTAAATAACATCTTATTTATTTCAAAGTACTTTACAATAAATATGATGTTATAGTTTTATGCAGTTAAACATAGCAGTTATTTTGTACATAGCACAGTCCCACAAACAGGTACAAGTTGAATAACTTGATTTATCTAGGGGATTATTGGTCAGGACAATGAGAGAACCCACTCCATCCCTTGTTGATAATGTCATGGGAACTTTAAAAATCTATCTTAGAGCAGTCCTGGTTTCATGTCTCAAATGAAGGCATAACCTTCAACAATACAGGGCATCCCCAACCCATCCCTGGTCTAGACTAGAAACGTAAATCTTGACACAGAGGTTGAACCCACAACCTTCTCACCCAGAGGTGACCCAGATTTGCTGTGTTAAATGAGCCAGGCATTAAATGAGTCAGGCATTAATATGCATTTATTGTCTAGATTTAACTAAACATATCTTATTTGCTTTGTTAAGATAAAAAAATCCCAAAGCCACATTTTGAAATGTCAGTTTCATTTTGAATGGTTTAAGGATGTAACATAAGTCTGAAAAATCCCCCCAAATTAATAATAATTTGAGATGTCTAGATGACATGATAAGATGCTAAATCAAATGCAAAATTATTATCATCATTATCAAAACACAATTTCTGAAACCAAAGCACAACAATAAATTAGATAAGCAAGCAAGTAAATTACGTAGCAAGCAAATTACAGTAATGCATCTATTGAAACCGGGTTAATTATCATTTTTCAACAGGTCAATTGGGAAAAAAAGAGAAATGTTAGCTCGAATGGAACTGAAAAATGTAGCACAGAATAAATTGGAAATCAACAGCCTGAATCAGAACTAAACAAAACATCACTACTCAGTGTGAAAGATTTTTGTGCTTTCTCTATTTCTTATTTAGAGCATATACGCAACTATTGCAAACATAAAAAACAAACTTTGTTTAAAGAATTGAGTTTTTGGTTTCATGTATATATATATACTGCTTGAATTAAAAAACACTTTCAATAAAGAAAGAAGAACTTAGAATTTGATAGCATTTATCACAAAACATCTCAAAGCCCTTCACAGATAATGTATTGACTGCCAAATGTGCTTTCTGCATTTATAGCCAAACATGACAATCAATAACAAGCATTTATATAGCGCTTCTCACGTAGAGTAGTGTCCCAGAGCGTTTGACAGTGGCGGAGCACATTGTCGAGCTGGGGGGAGGTGACCATAGGCGAGGTTGAATAGGAAGGTCTTCAGGCCCGACCTGAAGATGGGGAAGGAAGGGGCAAGGCGGAGGGATAGAGGAAGAGTGTTCCAGTGTTCCAATCATTTGCGCCTGAAAAATCTCACATAGAGCCAAGAGTTGAACTCCCAATGTATCTGGAGAATTGCTGATCAGGGACACCAGGAGAAACCACATTCTCTTTTCAAATATTTTAACCTCAACAGGGAGACAGAATCTCAGTATCATCGGAACCACAGACACAATTAGCTGCAATGCTGAATTTGCACAGCAATGTGTCCAGAAATTGCAGAAATGTAGTCTTGATCTGTACAAATAATTGCATACCACAGCACTCCCTTCCAAGACTGACACATCGCTATGATCTCCCTTGATTTATACTTCAAAAAGCTCTGAGAGGGCCTCTGTATACTGACATGAATTTGAAGCAGATTTCATCCCGTTAAAATTTATAAGATATGGTGCAAAGCCAAGTACCTGTGTCAAACAGTGTGTTTGAAACCGGTTCCATGTTGGATTACAAGTTCCTGTGCTGGATGAATCTTTGTCATAGACAGGGTTTGTATTTTGCTTCAGATTTTTCACTACAATAAGTGAAGGATTGTAGTTGAGTGAAATGTAGTTGAATGAAATCATCACTTTTCCATAATTAGAATTTTTTTTGCTTTAAATGCTTAGTAAGAAGACACTGATCTGAAAATTATTCCAAAGTAGCATCTGCCCCTGTTTCAAAGCAGAACATTTTCTACCAAGAGCAACAATGAGTCTGTGGGTGAGGATCCTATGAAGCTTGAGTAAGATCTCAAAAGACTTCAGTAACTTAAAATCTCTACCTTCCTTGATTTTCATGATGGACCTACTGTAAACTTCAAGGTAGAGACAAGAATAATAATAATAATAATAATCCTTGCATTTGATATAGCGCTTTTTACGTCGGGAGGACGTCCCAAAGCGCTTCACAGAACACACTGTAAAGTGAATTGACTGTATATTTGTGGGCGAACGCGGCAGCCAATTGCGCACAGCAATGTCCCACAAACAGTCGTAGATTGAAAATGACCAATTTATTATTGTTTTTTTTGGTTTTGGAGGGATTATTATTAGGCACTGTGTGGAGTAAGGAAACTTGCCCAAGGTTTCGTCCTCTGCCTGGAATTGAACTCAGGTCTCTCGCTTGCAAAGCGAGTGCTCTAACCACTGAGCTACAGGACTCCACAAATACAAACAGAATGCAAAAGTATTCTGTCCCTTCTTTCTGAATGAAACAAAGTTACTACAGGTCTATAAAATCAAGCCCCCAGTTATAACCAGTCATACAATAAGTTAGCAATTCCAGGTTGCTAATGATGTCAGCACTGATGTCACCAAGCCAAACTGTGTACAGAAGCCAACAACTGCTCTTGTGAGCATTTCCAACGGTTCCTGAGACACTGGGATGCCTTTTGTGCCTGCACTACATGCTGGAGGTAAACTGCACTTCTGGTACATTGTGGGACTATGATGAATCCGTGCTATTTATGGACTTGTGATATACATCAATTGCACAGTATTTGGGCCTTGCAAACTGAGTGCTGTAATTAAAGAGCTGCTCAATGTTGGTATTGTACATGACATTGGTTAGGCTGCAGTTGCAATATTGTGCCTGGGCTCCCCATTACTGGAACAGAAAGATTCACTTGGATGTTACTGAGTAATGAATTCCGAGGAGCGACTATAGAGGCTGGTTCAGCAGAATGGTTCAAAATGGAATTGGATAAGCACCAAGCAGTAAAAACATGAAGGGAAATGGGAGAGAGAGCTGAAAAGTGGGCTTAACGAAAAAAGTGTAATTCTGACAACCAGGTGTCAGGCAGAGGCACGATCGGCTAACTGGTTCCCTTCTGTCCAGAAAACATCCAAGTTTCTATGAAAGAAAGTCAAGAATGCAGGAATTCAAGAAAGGCATCTTACCTGGTCATAATCCCCATTCTTTACTGTTTTCTCAGGTTTGCTTTGCTTTAATGGGCCTTTCACTTCTAAAACCTGTCACAACAGAGGCGGAAAGACTTAAGCTACAAGTATTCCTCAGTCCTCTTCCCTATCGGTTGCACTCAAATTTAGTAAATATCTTGGCGTTTTATTCAAAAAGTATTGCCCTCGCTTTTTTCTTTTCTTCTCAAGTACTCGGTTTTCAATAATTCTCCTCCCAGAACCACTCTCTTTCTCCGTTGCCTGGTTGAGTACCATGGTCTATAGACTGTGGACCTCTGTCTTCCCTTCTCCTTCACCAGTATCCCTCCTCCCATCTTCCAGTAGTCTAGATTTAAAATAAGATGGCCAAAAATGCCCAAAAGAGAATAGGAGAATTTGACGCCAATTAAAGTGAATCAAACGAGATCACGATAAATCTTTCTAATAGGAGTCAAAATATTTTATTGCAGTTGAGAATGTTTTCATAGTTTTTTTTATTTGAGTCAGATACCTTCATTTATCAAGGGAGTTGGGGGTTCTTCAGCTCCTGTTAACCACAACAACAATAACAACTTGCATTTATATAGTGCCCCTCACGCAGGTTTGCGTCCCAAAGTGCTTGATAGTGGCGGAACACAATGCCGAGCCAGGAGGAGGAGGGAGTTTACCGTAGGCACGTTTGAAGAGGAAGGTCTTCAGACATGGCCTGAAGATGGGGAAGGAAGGTGGAGGAATACAGGAAGAATGTTCCAGTTACGGGGCATCGTGGCTGAAAGGCACTGCTCTTCCTCTTCCACTACGAGCAGTGGGGCCTTCAGCCTTTGTGCCCCCACTCGCTGGAACTCCATCTTGGAGCCCCTCCGCCTCGTCCGCTCCCTATCTCCTTCAAGGCCCATCTCAGGACCTTCTTTTTCAACCGTGCCTTCAGTCATCTTCCCTCCTCCACCCACCTTGCCCTCTGATCCCAAACCGCAGCACGAATGCAAACTATCATTGTCCAGGCATTGGGTTGGGACATCCTCCTGACGTGAAAAACATTATATAAATGCAATGTATTGCTATTATAATGCTAAAACATCTCAAAGCACTTCATAGGGAATTCCTGTGAGGTATAGTAGTGTAGTGACTGTGTATCTGTTGGTAAACTTGATAGCCAATTTGCGTAGTGTCCCACAAACAATCACGAAGTGAATGACAATTTATCTGGAGGATACTTAGCTGGTGCTCTCCTTTTCAAAATTGTGTAATGTGATGTTTTACTTCCACTTGAACAGGCAGAGGGATCTCATCTTAACATCTCATCAGATAAACGGCACCCCTAACAATGCAGCGCCCCCCTCAGCACTGCATTGGAACATCAACCTAGACTGAGCTCAAAGTCCTGATGTACAGCTGAAACCCATACCAACTGGCCCAATAAAAATAAATACAACTAATATATTCTCAGTGTGTTTCCCTTCCTCCTAGCTTTCTCTAACCCCACCCTCTCCGTAATGCTGCAAAGATTAAAATATACTTCACAGGGAGTTCCTGTCAAGTGCAGAAGTGCAAACAAACAAACAGCCACTATGTTTAATGCCCACCATTATTCAGTGTATTACAGATGCCTGTGTGGTGCCGTCATACTATTCTTTGCTGTTTTATTGCTCTGCTGTAAAGCATTAGAACCTTGTTGAGAACAAACACAAATTCATAATCTGAGAATCATCAGCACATTTTCAAAAATCCCAAATCCTGGCATCCTGTTGCAGTCAACAGTTCAACATTCAAGTGGATTGTTTTTTCAGGAACCCAGAAGGACCGACACCTAGACTTTTCTTGTTGTTACAACCTCCTGGGTGCAGCACAAAAGTGGTCATCGTTGGGCAGAAGTGTATGCCATGCTCAACTCCATCTCATTTAAGTATTAATGCTCCCTTGTCCAACAGAGGAAATGGTTTAAAGATTTTCTTTGGCTTTCAAATAACTTGTTGCCCACAAACAGCAGGGGCAGCTTGTAAACGAGAGGAATGTTGTAGTCTAAATGCATTATTCTGGCTTTGTATGAAATGGAAAGAACGAGAAATGTGAGAAGCTTGGAATATAAACCACGACCTTTCTGAAAAAATAATAATTTAAGCCAATCAAAGCATTCAGACGATGCCAGACAGCAAATAGATGGCATGTTCTCTTCAGCACTGCTACATGTACAAGGCAGTGGGTCCGATGACAGCACTCGTCTTTTACAAAGTCATCTTCTTTACAGATAAACAGCTTCTCACAGAATTGAATTAAAACACCAGCCTCGTTGCGGGCAAAGGGTTACTGCACACACATTCTGAAATGAGCCAAACTAGAGAAAACATGTCATGTGCATCTTTGACAAGGTCTTTGAAGAACCAGAACGTAGCTCAGTTTAAGCAACTTTACAGGTTAGAATATAAATCCCAACTCTGGCCCCGACTTTCTCAGCCTTGGATGGCTTTCTGTTTTTAAACAAGTGCCCAGTTTTGAAGCCTAGGGCTTAAATATTTTTTTAAAAAACACACACACCGCAATTTCACTTCACCGTGCCAAAAATTTTACTTTTTTTCCCTCGAGGTTTCACAAGTTGTGCAGATTTGATGGAACAGATTAAATGGAACAGAATCTGCACCCTGTCTAAAAGTGCCCCCCGCCCAAAACATACATTTTAAACTGCTTAAAGAATGTGTGATTTTGAGCGATCAAAAGCAAAACATTTCTGAAATAAAAGATTTCATAAGGTAAACTGGAAAAAAATCTAATTTGACTGAATGATAACAATAACAAGGGAAGCATTGCCATGATTTCCTTTTAAAAAACAGAGTACAAGATTGATGGTCTATTACTGTTCCAATGGTCCCTCAACATGATTTTATCCACAGGACACACCAGTGATATCTCATGTCTTTCACACTCATGAAAGAACCAACAGCAATATGATCTGTCCGGTGGCGTGTTCTACATCGAGAACATGTTAATGAGGAATCGGCATTTGACAGCTGAACAAAATCCTTGGTTTAGGAAGGAAACATCTTGGTGAAATTCAATTTCCTTTGAATGACATGCACATCCTTGGCCATTTCATTACCCAACTTCTTCCCATACCTGATTGTTATTGTTTTTTAGTACTGTGGGTGCTTCACTTCTGGGTGGAGTCGAGCTGCCACTGTTCTCACTGTCACTCCCGTCACTCAAACTCATTCTGCAACAGAAATAAACCACAAAATTTAGACATAATGAGCAGGGAGCATTAACGGGGCAAGCGGGAAAATAATACTCTTGCAAAACTCCATTTACTGGCAAATATGCATAAAGCAAACTTTCAGCTTCAATTTAAACACTACAGTAATGAACTATTTTTTGCTCCTTCCCCAGAATATTGATAGTTTCTTCCCTGAAATCAGCTCAATTCCCTGGCCAAGACCCATCAATCCACTCTCAGGCTTTTCCCAAAATCACTTTTTGAATGAAACTGGCATATGTTTTTTGTGTGCACTGTGGAATGACTCACTCTACAATTGTCTCTTCATCTGAGAAAGCACCTTGCTTCTATTAAGTGATTCCTTCAACAGATTGAGAACTCACCACAGAGTGAAATCCTGTGGGATGTCACCAGTGCTCTATACCACCCAGCGCACTGTCCATCCATCAATATCACAGTAAGACGTACACAACTAAGAAATGCATTTAAGTCCATCTCAAACCTGTTCAACCACCTGCTTTAGAAAGAACAGTTTTTTTTAACAGATATGACTAACATAAACAAAACAAACTTGTACTCTCACACGGATAAAAAAAATACTGTAGTATACTTAGGAAAGTTTACAAATGGAACTAAAATTGTTTTAAAAGGGAACGCCCATTTTAAGAACACACAGAAAGCTCAAAATAACATCACAACACATCTAACCACTTGCAAGTGACCATTACTGAAATGTTCCTATTTATGACAGAATAGTTTTCGGTGACACTAATTTTGAGACCAGCCTTCAGAAACCCCAACACAAGTTTCTGTACTGAAATGTAACTTTCCCAAGGGAGTTGAAACACAACATAAAAGTTTCTTAGTTATTGTTTCTGCTTGTCACAAATGGACAGTGCATTTATTGTAAAGCAATAATTTTGTATATTCCAAAAGAACACAATATTTAAGTGCTAATTGCACAAATGTAAATTTGTGAAATTGATCAGCAGGGTGCATAATTGTTTAGCACAAGATATGTAACACACATGTAAATCTGATATTTGAGGGGTTTCAGTTTCTAAGATTAATTAAAATGAATTGGTATAAGAAATGGCAGCTGTAATGTGATAAGCAGGAAAGTCAGTTGGCATGTATCTGCATTATTGGTCTGATTCTGCACAAGACTGTGTGATAGTCGACAAAATAAATGCAACACTTTATAGGGAATTCTGTGAAGTCCTTTGAAATGTGCTCCAATGTGAAAGGTACTATATCAAATGTAAGGGTTATTATAAGATTAATCTCTAATGTGTTACGTTGACCCTCGGAGGTAATCAAATTAAAATTCCAGGTTACAAGTTTATAACCAATTACTGTATTCAACTGTGATCAGCCTCACACCAGAGCTCCAACACAAGAACAGCATTCTGTACATTATGCAATCATCTGTGGCAATCCATATCCCTATTCCCTGTGAGTCTCATTATTATTCTGCAATTCTATAGGCAGAACATAAACTTATTTTCTTCCTGAGTTTCTTCCACATATGCATAACTCTGTGGTTATAATTCTCTTCAAATCTGATTTGAAGCTTGATAATTTTATCCTCTTGTTCTGCACTCTCCATCCAAGTAAAACTACCTGCTCCAGGTGATTCAGGGTCTCACGCCCAAACTAATATTTCTCTCCAATTAGCAAATGAGTAACCTTAATTCAAGTACACGAGTGAAAAAAGGAGATCCGCAGAATGGAACAGGTAGAGCAGGGTACGAGGCTGCATCATTAATTTGAGCTGAAATACTTTATATTCAAAACAAACTCTTTTCAGAATTGCATTTAAGCATCAATAACTGACTTCCAAATGCATCAACATGCAAAGAGGTTTAGCTTTAAATCAAGAATAATAAAAGGATTATCTGACAAGAGGTGTATCTGCACAGGAGTGCAATGACACCATAATAATTAATGGATTAAATGAGACTAGTGATTTATAGGTTAGTAAATTAAGAGGTGTATAGTTGACTGAAGGTTATTCTGCAACATGGCAATTAATGCAGATCAAATTTTTATTTGGGCAATCAACCTATAAATAATACACACCACAATCTTCTCTTTCGAAGGACAGGGAGACAGACAATAGGAGAATCGTAATTTGTCCTTTTAACGGATTAACGGTGTTCCTTAATAAGGAATCAGTCAAGCAAATGGGGACTCCTAGTAATTGGAAATTTGCCATGTAGACCCACAGGAACTCCGCTCCAATCTAAGAGCACAGTGCAGTTTCAGAGGTCAAAAGAAATTCTAAAATGGTAACTTAATAAGGAATCCAGTTAATAAATACCATTAATTAGATCCAATTGGCATTTTTGCTACTTGATAACAATATAACAATTAATAATAATCCATGCATCTGATATAGCACCTTATCGCATCGTTTAGACATTTCAAAGCGCTTTACAAAATATATTGTAAAGTTAATTGACTATATTTTGTGGGCGAAACGTGGCAGCCAATTGTGCACATCGGTAAATTAACTCAGCTTCATTTGTAATTCTGCACTCTGCATCAGCCGAGGTTTTCAAAATACAGATTTGAATATGGAGCCGTTTATAACACAGGCTCAAACATATACAGTATATCTTCTGTCGTTTGTTTAAATTAAGTAGTAAAAATACTAATGTTATAGTTACTAGAACTAACTTTTAAACAGTAAGACTATTTTGGAAAATGTTTGGAAGCTCTTAGTCCTTTGGATTTGAAAAGAGAATCCATACAACACAGTGAAAACCCAGAAATGTAATTCTATCTTCATGATTCTCATAGCAGCTATGTCGACAATAGGACAGGACAAGATTAAGGCCTTCATATACAAAATGAACATGATGGGAAAAGAACTCATTAATCTGAATCCTGAACAGGTCACAAGGTGAGATGGCTGACATGAAGGTGTCAAAGGATAATGATGGATAAACACTTAATTCCACTCTTCCTTTCATTAGCTGCTTGCAGTACTAACCTATGTGCTCGGTTTCCGCTGTGGGTATTTAATGATCTCTCCATATCAGAGCCATTTCCGTTATCTTCATCTTCATCAGACTCATTGTCTTCTGAATGGAGATCCTGCATTATAGACCGCAGTGGACCTGTTAAATAACAAAGGAACTTCAGAACCTCTCTAATATAAGATTGTTGCTGCTCATAAAAATAGAAATTTCTGGCAAAGAATAGAGGACTTTCACTTTTCTATGAGACGTTACAATGCAATTAATGCATAAAATAAACTTTTCTGCATTACACACAATACAATGAGCTTCAGTACACGTCATGAATTGAAAACCGTAAATCACCTGAAAACTTTTTTTAAAAAATATCAATAGTTGCAGTTCAGTTAGCTCAGGAGTGATTCTTTAATGTGTGGTAAGAGCACAGAGAAATTGTAGATCATCTTACACACTTGTTATTTTTTTTAAATTGCTGATTTTGGTGCATTGCAGATGAGGAAATGTTAAATACATTTCTTCGCATCACCCCTCCCCTTCCTTTATGGTTTTGTCTGGGGAAGATTTAATTCAAGAGGATCACATAACACAGCCATCATATTTGTGAAGTCCTGGGCCCATGTCATGACAAAATTTACCACCTTGTTGGTGATACTGTCCTTTGGATAACGCATTAAACTGGAGTCCTGTATGCCTGTTCAGATCCATTTTAAATAATCCATGATACTATTCAAAAGGAAAGGGGGAGTTTCCCTGGTTTCCTAGTCAACAATCCTCCAGATAAACTTAAAATTCACCTTTTGGCTGTTTGTGGGACTGTGCAACTTGACTGCTGGATTCACTTGCAGTCACTACAATGTACAGGAATTCTGTGAAGCGCTTCAAGACATTTTAAGTGTAAATACTATTAAATATTTTAATTAATATTACTTAGTCTTGAAAACTTCTATCAGATTGTCCCTTAACCTTCTTTACTCTATTGAAAATAGCACCAACTTTTCAAGTCTCTCCATGTAGATATGTGAATTGTACACAATGGTGTGAATGGCCTTATACAATGTAAACTTTCAACAATTCAATAAATATAATCTCCAATCTCTGTTATTATCCTAGTGAAAAACCCAGGATTGGTATGTGCCAAGTTTTGGACAATATCTCACAAACAGTAATGAGGTGGATGCTCGACCAATCCGTAATCTTCGTGAAGCTAGATCAGATTTTATTTATTTCTCCAGGTTCACTTTGGCAAGGGCATTACAGGGTGAGTGTGCATTCAGATTATATAGACAGTAGCATTTTACTTTGTCAGATGCTTACAGGTAGCCTTGAACTGATGTACAATTTACTTAAAATTACGAATTGATCAATGTTGCCAGGGTACTAAAGAACAAGAGTACTGATTGAAAACCACATTTCGCTTCCAATTTGTTGTCCTTATCCAGGGAATTCAGAGGATAGGTTCAGGTACATTCACTGAAGAAAGTGGAGCTTTCTTACTTTTACAACTAATAACTCGTCCAAATGGACTTCAAATGGAGTTTTCATATATATATATATATATATATACACACATATATAAAAAATATAATTTCCTTATCTACATTGGACCCAAGTCAAGAACATACAATTTCTTTATGCTGCAGAGTTAAATAAACAGTTATGGTCACAGATAAGACTTGAAGTAAATTCAGATGACAAGCATGGCTTTATGCCAGTGTTAATATTATTCAGTTCATAAGAATCTGAACAGGTCTTAAGTATTTCCTCTTGATAAAGCTGACATTCAATAAATTAATGTTCAACACTTCTGGAAATTAAGGAGTATTTTTTGTAACAAAAAAAACTCAAGGCAACTTTCTGCAATGACTGTTTGCCATTCCCATTAAAGGTGAAATAGATCTTTACCTTGTCGGTTGTTTTGGGATGGAGTAAAACTGGAACTGGAGTTAGAACTGGAACTGGAGCCAGCAGGACTTGGTTGTTCGGACTTGAACCAAATAAAGAGACAAAACAGAAGATAAAGAGTTAATATTCTTCATTGTAGCTGGGAAAATCATTGACTGAAAACTGCTATAACAACACTAAAATGTCCTGACTCATTAGAAATGTTACACTACAAAATAGTTTATTCAGCTCAGTTGAAAATGCAGTATTCAAAAACAAAATTAAAAGCAGGCTCAATCAGGCTGCTCTGAAATGAAAGCATGGAAAGGCACTGAGAATTAAGAGTGTCTCAGGGCAAAATTAATTGAATGTTTTATTGGACATCAAAAATTCAATTAAGAGAATAAATGGACATCGAGAAATAATTACAAGGTCTTAGGTTTATAAACAGTCACCTGGACACTAAAATGAGAGTACAGCTCTGAAATCACTCACCATAATAATCCTTGCAGTTTATAACCCTCCTTTCATGTCAGGAGGACGTATCAAAGCCCTTCATAGGATATATTGTAAAGTGTAGTGACTGTATTTTGAGGGAGTACGTGGCAGGCAATTTTCGCACAGCAACGTCCAACAAACAGCCGCATCATAATTGATCAATTTTATTTGGGGAATTACTGGCCAGGACACCGGGAGAAACTCTCTTCTCTTTTTGAATAGTGCCATGGGATCTTTAATATCTCATCCGAAGGACATCACCTTCGACAATGCTCCTAAAAGAATGGAGCATTTTCTCTTTCATAAAAAGTACATTTTTATAAAAAACAGCTGCAAGTCTAAATTATATCCCCTTCTCTCGGACCCCAGCATTACTGCAGACCGTCAGGGCTCTGCTGCATCTACGATGGTACATCTCTAGAATAATAATAATCCTTGCATTTGATTTAGCACCTTATCACGTCTTCGAGACGTCTCAAAGTGCTTCACAGAATATACTGTAAAGTGAATTGACTGTATTTTTGTGGGTGACGAGCGAACAAATCCTCTGGTTTCTGCGGAAACTAATCGGGAGAGAACAAAGAAAATGAACCTGCAGACTCTGCTAAATAGAACCATCAAATACGATCACCTCTTGTTAAAAAAAACAAAAGGAACCGATGAATTCAGCACAACTCATCGTGGGCCAGAACTTTGGCTTCTCTGACCTTCAATAAAAGCAGCTTTCGCCCTGTGGTCTTGTTGCCATTTGATTCTGCCCCAGACATTTCAAGCATTTTGGTAAATGTACGATCAAACTGCTAAGGGGTTACCACTGCCACCCACCTCTCCTGTTACTGTTTCAGTGCACCCACTGCTTTATTAGCAGTTAATTTTTGCTGTGCCCAAAATTAAAAAGCAAACTAGCAATCCCCGTTCTCGATGACGCAACACAAATCATTTTGTACCTATAACTGGAGCATGTTTCAAAAGTGTGAATTTTGTGGGATTGTAAACTGAGTCATTAACTGAAACCATTTACATGCAGACATCTTTGATGATCTAAACAGTTGCTTCTGCCTATAAATCAAGCAATTGGACCCATCCTAATGAGCAGAGTGATTTACAGACTGTAATTGCCTTTTCTCATAAACAATCCCAGCTATGCTTACCAAGGTAATAAGGCTTTTTTTGGTAGTGGGGGGTGGTGGAGAGACACAGTGAGACGAAGGGCAGGGGGTGAGTGGAGAGGAAGAAAAGCAGTGAAAGAAAGAAATTTCAACAAACTTAATAAAAAATCTACACACTTTTGGTCAGCTACACTGCAACAAGAGCTAGTGAGACAATGCAACAGCCCACAATTGTGGTTCTATATAAAAGTTACACAGTGGTGCCTCACTTTGTTAAATGACATTCAAACCAGAGGAGGGCACAGCTTCCAATCGAGGCATTTGAAGGGTACCTCAGTGAACAGAATAAAGGTTTTATGAGCCAGAACTGACCACCTAAATCCTTTCGATTATAATTGTTTTTAACTGCGATGCCAGTTCAGAAATAGCCAGTTCAGACTAAAGTGCCATTTCTTATGATGAACAAAAGGCACCAAACACAAACTGTTGTGGGCCAGCAACTTTTTTTAAAAAACACTCAAACCCTTTTTTCCCTTCCACCGAAATGCATCTCAGTTGGTCCCCATCAGTCCACAACAAAAAAAATATTCTCTAAAATTCTTTGCAAAATACTGCGTTTTAAATCGAAACCAAGGTTTGCATTAGCGTAAATTACAGACTATATTCATGAAAGACCACAACTCGCTGCCAAGAGAAGCCACCAGCTCTCTGGATCTCATCCTTTCGCATTTAGCTGAGGTTGTGCGTTCTTATAGGAAGTAATTAAACTGGTGAATAAGAGGCATTCAGTGAATGTTTTTGATAAACTTTAAAGATCATGGAATTAATGGTAAATGCACAGGTTGGGATTGAAAATTGGCAACACCAATAGGAAGCAGAAGATGGATGATAAATGGAAAATTTCAATATGGGAAAAAGTGATCAGTGCGGGGGTCTGAACTGGTGCATATGACTTGGGAGGCGAGAACCTATTGCGATATTACAACATTTACAGATGATCCTAAGCTGAGTGGTTAGGTGAATAAGAAGGAAAGAAGGATAATCATCATGTTTTTAAAGGTTGTTATCGAATCAGCCTCCACCACCCTTTCAGGCAATGCATTCGCTGTTTGAAAAAAATTCTTCTCACCTCCCCTCTGCTTCTTTTAGAAACTATTTTAAATCTGTGACCTCGAGTCACCGACACACCCACCAGTGGAAACAATGTTTTATATAGGTTAATCATAACCTCCTGACTCCTGAACTCTCTGCCCCTATTTATAAAGCCTAGTATCCCATGTGCCCTTTTTACAGCTTTAGCTACCTGTCCTGCCACCTTCAAGGATTCGTTTACCTGCACCCCAGGTCTCTCTGTTCTTTCACCCCGCTTAAGATTGTATTACCAGCCTATATTGCCTCCCCTCATTCTTTCTTCCAAAATGCATTACCTCGCATTTCTCCACATTGAAAATCATCTGCCATGTTTCTGCCCATTTTACCATTCTGTCTATGTCTTCCTGTAGTTGGCTGCTATCCTTCTCACTGTTTACTATCCTATCTAACTTTGTGTCGTCCACAAACTTGGAAATGGTACTTGCTATACCCAAGTCCAGATCATTTATATATATTAAGAAGAGCAGTGGTCCTAATACCGATCCCTGGGGGACGCCACTGTACATTTCCCTCCAGTCAGAAAAGCAGCCGTTCACCACAACTCTCTGCTTTCTGTCTCCCAGTCAGTTCTGGATCCATGCTGCCACTGTCCCTTTTATACCATGGGCTTCCATTTTTCTTACAAGTCTTCAATTAAAACATTAACAAAGCTAATCACCTTAGAAATATTCTTTAATGTTTCCACTCAACGTGAAATGTACCTCATCGATGCAACAAAAGATATTTTGTGGGGAGAGAAATTTCCCATTATCCAATCTTGTATGTCCCTGTGTACAAAGACTGTATAATAATCCAAACTTGCAAAGAACACACGTGATTCCTATTCAGCATGTTGGGCCCCAAGCAACTCCCCAATTTGGGGACGGAAAGATAGTAAGTGAGCGGCAAACGTGTGAATGGGGAGAAGTAGAGCAAGAATATGTCAGTAAATTCAAACAGGAATTAGGAAACCGCTTGTTCTGTTGAGAGATGGAGTAGTGCCTTGGGACGTCCTCCCGACGTGAAAGACGTTCTATAAATGCAATCTTGTTGTTGTTGTTGTAGTGTAGGATTATTTTACCTTGGACTACCGACCACATTGACTGGAATAGGTACAGTGAAATCCTATGTTCTTATGAAAATTATCAGTGCAGCTAACATTCCCATCCCATCATTCCCATCTCTTCAGGAATTTTGGATTCCCCCATTATCTTATCAACTGTCATTAAAATACAATTACTGTTCTCAAGTTTTAGGCAACGTGCAAGGTATTGCTTGGATAGGTGAAATCCACCTCCGTGAGCCAAAATCCTAAAGCAAAGATCATGTGCATGAACAAGTAAATTACAGTAAGAGGATTTTGCTCAATATGAAGGAAGAAAGCATTATCTTCAGTAGTACAAAGCTGCCCTGTTGGTTCTCCGTATGAATGAGGATTACTATCCTGCTGGCTTTGACACCTCTAGAAAGCTGAGGCTATCTTTGGCACTAAATGTGTTTTTTGACAGGTTTATAAGCTGTTATCCCAAGGACCCTGGTATTTATGACTTTATTCAGTTGGGGGCTTTCCACCACTTACCCTGTGGTTACTAATCACTGAATAGATACTTCATGGACTAGAATTAGCGTGAAGGAGGTCCTGCGACAATGGAGGCCCCTTCCCCTGAAAATAAATAACGTTGGCTTCCCCTGTCAAGGGACCATCGTGTGTCTTCTTCCTGTTTTACTCATTTTCTGGTCCCACAGACAAGTTAATGAGCGGGTTTGAATCCAAAATGCTCATTAGCACATTGGCCTCCTAGAAGATTTATAGCATTCCAAAGCTGCCTTTTCCCCCTACCCTCCTGCTGATCCAAAGGAAACCACAGTATCATCTTCACTTTGTGAAGAATTGCTTTCTTTTTTAAAAAAGAACACACTGTATCTAAAGTAATTAAAAACCACATCTGCCATCTCAGTTAGAGTAGTTCTATCAAACACATTTTTTTATTCCCAGAAAACACTGTAAACTTGAGGAAAAATGCTCTTTTTTAAAATCTGGTGGGGGGTGGGGGGCTGGGTGGTAGCAAGAGGGTGGGTGCCATGTTGGGGCTGTTCAAAAGCTTGTACAAAGCAAAATGGCGATAAAGTAGCCCACTGGCGGGGTCTGGCCATTGTGAAAGGACGAGAATGCCACTGAAGCAAAGAAGACCAACTAGGGTGGTAAACTGTGATTATGTCTATGGGTTTCTGGGGAGAATGAAATGCACTTTGATGTTTTCCTGATGCAATTTACAGCCTGTTTGTCTGTCTGGGTGTCTGTCTGACAGTAAACACATGGTCAAGAGTCTTCCATAAATCACAGTCCTCCAACACATGCTCTGGC